ATTACATAATTCCAAACACTTTAATCATACCATGGGTTAGTCCTTAGTTTTCACAGTACATAATGTTCCACGACGGCATTCTGGATCCGGTTCTAATATTGCGCACTCAAACGTGTAAACGGAGAGTCGAGTGTTATGTTGGCAGTAGTTTAATGAAGCTCGGTGCCCTGTGATTTCCTTGACGTGCCCTCCACGTTAACAGCATCGAAACAGTCAACTTCACGAAAGTTAAGATACCCGTTACAGTATGTGTCTAGAAATCTTCCCGATGGAACCAAAATCGTTTTATGTTCATTCCGATATGCATTTTTTGTTGAATGGGACTCCAGCATTAGTGCTTGCGGAGTGTGTTTTGGTATAAATGCACTGACAATAGCACGCTCAGTCTGCGAGAAAGACTCACCCAGTCCACTCAGATAACCCTACAAGAAGAACGAGACTACTTAGGAAGAGTGCACTGTTGGCCAGGAGATGGGGTAGTGCTAGTAAACTATGTAACCTGTTATCGTTCTAAAAACTCTACTTGACGAATAATGTTCCCTTCGCTTTTCTAAGAAGAGGAGGACAAACGCCCTTATTCAGCATCAGTGTCTCCCATTGAAATGCACTGACCTTGGAGTGGTGACATCACTGATTTATCAGGAGGACGTGGTTGCCTATTACAGCCCAGGTACATGTGATCGTTTTCACTCGGATTGAGAGCAGGGAATCATCAAAGCATAGGAGATAACGGTGTTTCATCGTCGACCTTAACTACTTTCAGGAAGTTCATTTGATGAGGCGAATATGACACTCCTGAGATGTGTCCCTGTTAATGACAGCAATTTTCCCTTAGTTCAACGGAGAAAGAGAACCAAATCAATTATAAGCTTCCATTCATATTACTCTCCCTCATATGTTTACTCCCCATCCCTACGGGTCTGTCAGTACTTATTTTTGCGATCTTTTACTGATCAAAAATCTTTTCCATTAAAATGAGTTCATAATACCGGTCATGCCTCTTAAAATCCCGCTAACACACTCAAGGAGCTTAGAAGAAGACGTCTGCATTTATAACCGGCAAGGTTACTTAATGCATGAAAAGACTGGCAGTGGAAATGTCCATAAAAACGTTGCCGACGAGGTACTGACCTTATGGTGTCTGTTTAGTCCCATCATTTTGGGTCAGTTTATGCCGGCTTAGTTAATTGTCTGCTGGCATATTCCGTACGAGATATAACTAATACATCGGTGTCTTAACCAATCTATAATTGAATAGGCCCGGCGAAACGCTGATTTGCGTACCATCTATAATTATCCTACAACGGATAATAGTCGCCGCCGACGCTTACAAAGTAGATGCAGGGGTGGATTATCCAGTCAGCTGCAAACATATTTTTGTTTCACCTTAAGCGATCTTGTTCTTCGCATGTAATTAGCATTACGGTTAGTCTGCTTGCACAAGGGAACTTTATGTGTTGCTGTGGTGTACCGCGTGTTAGTCGTAAGGTTTTTTGATATTCGGCATAATTGGGGTGACGAGTGGGAGGATTTCAAAATCTGGAGATCCTGAAATACAAGCTAAAAGGACACTTTTTAAAAAAATTTCCGAGCTGAACGAAAAATGGCAAAGGGTTTGAGGCACAAACAAGGACAACTTTCACCAAGACAATTTCACTAAAAGGTAACTGCATTTGGAAAACAAGCTCGCCTATCACCCATACGAAAGCAGCTCCGTCATTTATATTTTCCGGAATTCTGACCTTTTTCTCCTCGATGTCATCCTTGGTAGTTCAGACTGGCACGACTCAGTCACAACACTCAGTCCAAGAAGGGCACTTAATGTTCCATTAATGATAATCACTGCTGCCGAGAATGGTTCGTGTCCGCTGGAGAACCTGAATCGTGATGTTGTCAATATGAGCCGAAAATCTGAAAATGAATTTCAAGACATCGCGAAATCTGACTGACAAATCCCCTACCTGAGACCCAAATCAAGTTTCAGCTGACTTCGACGAGTTTGCTGACAACTTTCAAAGGCACAGAGATAGTGTATACGAAGGCTTCCAGTTGGAGCTTTATATGGGCAGGGCACCTGAATACACCTAACAATTCTAGTATAATGAGCACATTGCTGAAGTTGTGCGTAACACAAGTTGTGACGTCGACAGTTAGATGATGATACTGTACAGAATGCACTGAGAGACCCATCTATGTACCAGATTTCTAAAAGTTTTAATACAGGCGAAGGAAAACGCCAGTTGAAATGATGATATCCAAAACAGTTGGCATTTATCCTGCTTCCAGATTCGTAGAACAGATGAGTCGGTTCCAACCTCAGTGGAAGTGAATGCAAAAAATTAACGCAAAATCAACTTGCAATGTGGATGAGCCGCATATCTGCTATACTCAGAGGAACTTACTCTGACCTGTTCCAGCGAAAATTCTGTGTCCCAAACTTCCCCCAATACCGCGACTGCGCCATTCCATCGCCTCCTCTCCGTGAACCTTTGGGACCATTTTCGTCGTATTCCCGTCAGCGTCAGTGGGAGCATAGTCATGATTATAATCATCAACGGCAGCGTCCTGGAGAGAGATTCGATTAGCTGCAACGGCACTGTTCTGAAGACAGGCCGCCATTGACAAGCTGCCCCTCAGACGACAGCAGTTACGACGAGACTCCCGAGTGGGACATCTGTAGAGGCCTGTTCGTGGTTCGCCGGGCATCTCCACTGTCTTTAGGAGATTCTCTTGTCCCTGTAAATGGTTAGGATTAAGACTCAGGCAAACCTCATAGTCATAAAGTGTTGATACTCTCTTATCTTTTGAGTAGCGTTTATTTTCCAATACTTCGATTGTGCCGATGCAGTACTCCCTACCTAAGCAGAGAAAACAAATCAATCGCATGAAAGTTGGTTACTTTTTCCTTACATTCGTTTATGACGGCTCTACAGATTCTTATACCTTTGACCGCAATTCTCTTGGTTGCTTTGCGACGGAAACTAAGTAGCTTGACAAGAATTTGTGCGCACTCAGATTATCTCTGCGCGTACTTGAAATCAAAAACCGCTAACTCTGGAATTCTGTTCCTTATCATCTTGCCTTCCACGGTACTGTCCTTTCTTCTTCGGATTTTGCTGCATCGTTTTTAAGATGGTAGTCTGCAGTCGCCACATTCTTCAGAGTTGACAATTATACTTCCCACCCAACAGTTTCTCTTGTAGCAGCTGCTCCAGTCCCCCTTTTCTCCGGCTCCGTTTTGTTGAACAATGGCCGCGACAGCTGTTGACACACAGCCACCCCCGCCGGCTAACACTCAGACACCCCCGGTCCAACTTCAGTGACTGTCGGCTGACCTCACATACTTTCATCACCCCACGCGCGTCTAACGCCCTGGCCTGATACCCCTGAGGCATTTTGTGCATGCAGCCCTTATTCCTCCCCTAACTTGTCCAATCACACGACCACCACTCAGCCAGTCGCCCCTCCTGCTGACCCAGGCGCACTCCCGCATAAACAACACACACACCGCGACTGACGTTCTCCGTGAACGGACGCTTATCTCTGTTGCAAGCAAACAGCCAACTTACGGCAACCTGCCCTGTGTGCAGAATAAACTAGTCCTCACAGCTCCCTGACTTCTGTCATTGGACGAAACGAACTTATTGTGCGTGGTTTAAGTTGATCTCACATCCTTGACCGCCACACTCTCCTTAGAAGACATTAAATATGGGTAGACGGCACTTTCATCTTCCAAGCAAATAATTAGTTTTGTGATTCTCGTTTATTTACCCACAAGTTCATAATGTTTCCTTTTGCTATTCGTTACTTGGAAAACAACTTTTTACGCTTTTTATATATGACATTGGAAAATTCGTGTGATGTTTCGACCGACTGACAGCATTGCACCAAAGGTAAGATCTTATTTCGTAGCCGCACCTGTTAGGGGTTAGGGTTAGGGGTTGAGGTTATGGGTTATGGATTAGGGCTAGAGTTAGGGGTTACGGTTAGGGGTTAAGCTTAGGGGTTGGGGCTAGGGGTTATTGTTAGGGGTTAGAGTTAGTTTGTGTTGAACCCCCTATTACCACCGGCCTCCTATGACAGGCGGCTGGGGATTGTCTACTGCGGGTGCGGCTACGATATAAGATCCGATCGGACTAAATCCAACCGAGGATCTACCAGGACCACAGATATTAAACGTGCAGCTCTTTCACTTATTGTAACTTACGCTTTCATACAAGGGACCCACGATACATTACCTAAATGCTTCCTTTTATTTAGGCAACCAACGATGAGTGTTTGCAATGCACAAAAATATTCTTGATAACTTACGTAAAGAACTGCCGACAATATAGCGAATTCTACATCTCTCAAATAACTTTGCACCGAAGAGTATACAAAATAAGAACTACCACCGCAAGCAGAACTGGAGGTCCCATCCCATCGGGAGCTCAATGTATGAGTTAAAATTTCGTTTAAGGTCTTGTTCAGTCCACTTTTATTTCTATGCAAACCCGTCCAGACAGAAGATGCTGCCTCCCCACCTGTGCGAAATTAGAGGAACTCACGAGTTCAGTGGTGTTCAGTTAGCACGTCTTGCTTACCACAGCTGAGTCATCTGATATCGTCATTTCTTGTGCCAAAAGCAAAACAAATTTCATGACCAGTTGCTACCATAACAGGTAAAATGGCTTATTGTTGCAGTCTGTCTTAAAATGGCCGGTTGCCCAGGGAACCTGTTGAGGTACTAGCAACCATTGTTCGTCCTCTCAAAAGGACAGCAGGGTTCATATATGCCATTAAATTTGACGATAGTAAAAGTTGTAAGGGTTTGCACGATCCAGTGGAAGAAAGTCATAAAAGATACATGACCCACTAGAAAGTTACGCTTGCCTGTAAGATTTCGCAATTATTCGTTTTGGGTCATGTCTCAAAGGGCAATGCCAGTGTGCACTCTTTTCTCTGAGTATATCTCCTACAGGTTGTCCTTTGTTCTATCTTCTTTGACGATGATAACTGTCGGAGAATAAGCCTTGCCGCAATTGTCTACTTAAGTCTATGGGTTTCTGAGATCGCACGATTTTCCCTCTAGCAAGGTACTAACGCAGAGTATTTTTTAACACATTATTTGATGTTGGTAGTATCTGGGAATGGCAAAAAGTTCAATTTGTGAAATTAACTTTAGACACTTTTACATCGCTTTCTTAAGCTAAGAATGCTGTCTTATTTGTGATTAGTCGATTATCATTCCCAATGATCTCTCCCAAGTAGACATTGGGGATTAGCGTTTCGACTGAAAGTGTATTCTTCAGCGTGCAAAGCACACTCCACACATCGCGACTTGGACTATTTTCGACAAAAGTGAGCGAGTGCGAGTTTGACTAACTGTCACCCTTCATAGCTGTTAGTGATAGTACAAATAGTGAGTAAATAGTAAATGTCATGTTTAAGTACACGCAAAAAGTAGTACTTAAGATAGTGCATGATAAACGTGGAATAACCATCCCAATCTTTATATTTGCCCTTTGAAATGCATTTGTATGCCTACAATCGCATCGATCGACTCCGCCAATGGTGATAATAGGAGTTGGTCATGGTCGGACAGGAACGACAGGGTATCATCCAAGCTGAAGTCAGTATCATGCCAGATGCTGACTATTTAAAAAACACGGAGGGAAGGGACAGTTTTTTGAATTTGCCGGCATTGTTTAAATAGGACGCATGAGCCATATGTTTTTTGTTCGCCTACGCGGCATAAAGTGGAGCCCTAGAAGTCTTCTTTCCCTTTGTAGGTTTTAAAATGTTTTCGACATCCGCGGCTTGAATGACCGTTCCTTATCTTTATTTTCCCAAGCTAAAAACGGGTTTTCCAGCCTGCAAGAAAGGCCACGCGACAACTGTGGACACAGCTGGGCAGACAAAAGTTTGATCAACTGTAGTCGTGACTTACGCGGCTCCGTTCAGCGTATTCAAATCCCTCTTCGCGAACACGACGCGTGTTCTTTCTAAGGGCGCCGTTGGGAGAATTAATTTTGCCCTCCCCGTCTCCACCGACAGCCTGAGCGTGATGAGTGAACCAGTCGGAGGAGGAGGCGCGAAGATCAGCCGTCGCACTCGACTTTAAGCGCATACGTGGGGCGTCGCGACTGCTGACTGGCTTGCCGATAGTTGTAAACCAGTCCGAACTCCTGTTCTGCTGTCGCATGAATTCCTTTAATGCGAAACAAGACACCATAAATAGCCGCATGTGATACAACACTGGAGTTTGCACGTTAAATATTTAAGAACCTATGTATGCCTGAGATGGTGAAAATAGTGTCTGTTACAAGAGGGCAGGCGACATAATTAGCATTAGATGTGTACTTGAGTGAGCTAATGACGATAAAAAAAAACCAAAGATGGCAAATCCAGCATTTCTGTATTTGTCGGTCGAACTCGTTAATTACTGACTGCTTGCCACCATGCGACCGCCCGCGTCGGCTAAGGGCTAAATCTGCAAGGCAAGACAAAAGTGCTCACTCTAGGTCCGCAATTCAGATATGTCGGTGTACGCCAACTTCATGCAATAAGGGATTTTCCCATGCGAGTAACTCACTATTATGCACTCCCGTTCCTTTGCGTATTTCGCACTTCGCTTAGTAGTTCCGATTATACGAGCGCACCGTGATCATTACCGACGAAGACGAGGAATATTGGAATGACCACTTCCGGTTGGTTTGCCGTCATCAGCCCCCCTCCCCCGTAACAAAACGAGGAGTTAGCAAGACTCGCGGTTTGAACCCGCGCCCACTTGACCAGTTATTTTTTTGTTATGCCAGTAAAGCCGGCTATTCAAGTTCCCTCCGCTGCGACAGGTAATACTCAAATACACTTGGTAGCGGACCGCCAAACTACCTGACCTCCCTTGGAAGGTAGTATGAAAATTAAGGGCAAAAGCAAACGGCCGTCTTCTGACCTGCAAACAGGAGAATCGGTGAATGTCACCCTCACGCGAGTTTGAAGTAACTTATTCCTAAAGCCGATCTCAGGCAAAATACAGGGCGGCGCACCCAAGCAGGTTCGTAGTTGTGCACTAATTTAATTAACTCACATAATAGGACCCGATCTATGTGCTTCGTAGTCATAAATCAGTCCGCGTCGTCTTAGACTTACCGCTGCAGCTTCGCTAGCTCCCACGCGCGGAGGTTTGGATTTTACTTGTAGCGTTTGGTTGCCCTCGAAGTCGAACCATTCTTCCTGAGGATTTTTCAGTCTATTGGCTATTATGCCCGCCTCAGCAGTGCGTAGTCGTTGACGTGGCATAGAGGCCGTCTCTCCCTGCACTTGATTCGAGTCTCCATTGCGATCAGCAAAGCCCGCCAGACAGGCAGTCGACACGCGCATTGAGTTTTTCTCAACAATGTCTCTGGCCTCGGGTCTTATTCGTGGTGCCTGCTGGCCTTCTCGAAAGTCGGCCTTGTGCTTGAACCACAACTGAGGCTCACCTCGATTCTTTGCGTAATTTTCCCTGGCAGCCAGCCTGCAACCGTCCCCATAGAAGTCGTCCATCAGCTGACACCCTGTTGAATGCTAGGGCCTACGTACCATTTTCGTGGTCAGTGTTCTTTCAACCCCAGCAATCTTGCTCCCTTCTGATTGGCTGAAGGACGCAGATGATGTCGCCTAGCAACCCTTTCACACAGCCAGCATACATTTCCGTCCTGGCGTTCATGGACAGAAAGTGGTCGAAATTAACATTTTGCGACATGCTGGCTGGTTTTGACCTTGTCAGACTATTGGGGCAATTGGAATCTGGTTCCAATTGTTTAGGATAAGACAGCATGCTACCTATGAGGTGAATTAGACTGAGGTAGGCGAGAACGTTACCTCTATACTGCTCAGAGACGAAAGCGCAATGTTTCGACAACAGCAGAGTTGTTTTCTCAACCCTGAGCATCAAGTAATCTCATCTGGAAAGTAACGAATGTGAGACCACGGTCATCACACAGGACAGGGAAATTCGATTATGAGCTTGACTTCAATCCAGACGGCCAAGTAAAAAGAAACACAGAGTCCACTCGTCAACCGAAACAAAGGATTTTTGTCCGGAGGGAAAACTCTCCCATTCTGACCAATAATATTAATGACAGACAAGGGTATAATCTAACTAATATTTTAAGTATCAATTCAGAAGGCGGTTAGGCCAACTACAGTAACAAAAAGTATCATTGCCACAAATCGTTCAGTCGAAGACGAAGGACGATTGCTACCGAGTACCCAGTCCCAATGGCAGGTTAACCCGAACTTTCCCAAACCTTCAGAATTTTCCAGTGAATGACTCCCCCTTTATAATTTTACGCATTGGCGTAGTTGCCTTTAAAACTGTACATGCTGATAGGCCTTACCAAAAACTTGTTTACGGACCGTCGTCAGGAGATATAATTAATGAAACAACTGGAAGACAGGATTATGCATGCCAAAGCACCGTTAACTCTCGGACGCCCTCTCAAGCAGTACTTCGTACTGCCATGTACGGGTAAAAGATTATTACGCCTGTTGGAAGTCGTCTTAGTAACAACTTTTAGCACGTCGTGATATGTTCAAAGGACGATTTCTTGTTTGTATTGAAGATCTAAGTACTAGATCTGAGGTGGTTCGACCTCGATTTCTCTTGCCCTTCTTTCTTTCATACACCGGTAACTTGTCCGAATCAAGCCGAATGCTGATAGGCTTGGACGTGACCTGAAGTGGCAGTCTATCCCGTGCGCGAAGTGCCATAAAGACCACACCAAGGAGTATTTGCAACTTGTTCTTGTTCCGACGGAGGTGGAGTTACTACATCATTTGATAACCTTGCATACCACGGTTCTTAGCACGCCTAATCGATTATATTAAGGAATGCGCTGAGTTGCCATGAGGAATGGTGCCCCAGTATCCTCGGTGTTCACTTTGTACCGAAATCAGTTCGTGAATGACCACTTCTGGTCATCGCTCCTGTCAGTTTCCCATCTGGTCTAACAACGATAGAACATTCTGCCCTACCATAGTGAGCAGAGCCTTTTTGACCGATTATGAGAGAACACGGGGATGGAGGGAGAGGTTTGCGCTATGTAAATGGTTTAAATCATGTTTTATGCGTTTACGAGTAGGGACCACTCTCTAGACGGTCCACTATGCGTCTAGAGCACCTTTTAGCCCCTTCCCAGCGCTAGGGTGAACAGTACTATCTCTAAAGTAGGCAACTTAATCAACTTAGGCAGTCGCCGAATTCCACTATTGGCCGCGGTTTCCGTTCGGCAAAAAGATGTTTCCCCAAGTCTGAGACTATCACGGTGCGCCAAGCGCCGGGGCATGGAAGGCTGCTGACTGGCTCCCCAGCACAGTCCACACAGACTGCTCATTTAGTGTGTGTTTATGTGGAGTGCCAGACGGGTGATCTGAGAGTCAGACTTCCACGGCTACGTCTTAACTGGTCTGTGACACTTTCACGCATATAAGGAATGTGTGTATAGCGGTAGGGTCTCTCAGTCAAGGACCGCTGGGTTACCCCGCCTTGAAGGGTGACGGCCAAGGCAAATACAGGACCACATGCCACCCTCCTGGGCCTAAAGGTATGTAAGCGTCTGCAATGTCAGGATCAGCAAACAATGGCCTCACAGCCTGGTATGCGCTGGCAGTTCTCTGACACCTGGCTCCCTGCCGGCAGATGCGCTTGCGCTCCAGCTGGGTATACTGGTCGTGCGCATGGTTGCCCGGTCATCCTCGTCTTTCTGACCTGTTATGGTGCTGATGTTGGTTAGAATCCTGGTCAAGTGTTTGTTATGGACCGGAAGGTATGGTAGTACGTATTGGTGCGGGCCAGGCCGTGCTAGCCACTTGCGGTCTCTCTCTCACTCCCGGTCTTCTTGACCATGTCTTGACACCGGGCTCAGGAGGAGGAGGAGGAGGAGGAGGAGGAGGAGGAGGAGGAGGAGTGAGAGTGTGGCAGATACAGCGAAAGTTTACTATTACTATAAACTAATTCACACTCAAGTCACCGTGTCTGCTTCACCTTGCTGTGGAGTACACGGTGGACATCGTCGGATGAGATGGTCGAACTGTCGGTCACTTCTACAGGAAACTCGACAGTATCATATCTAGTATTTTAGCCACAACAAGTCCATTCTGTCTTTGAATTCTCCCGCCTGACTTCCATGTATTTTTGCTGTAATCGAAAAGTTTCTCGTTTACGATGTTTAGCTTTTACTGATCTTATACCTACTTAGCAAACTCCTAGGAAATCTAGAGGTTTCCCGCGGTTCCTGTGGTCTCTAAGATTATTCTGTCATATTACGGGAAGTGAAAGTCCGGTTCCTGGGCTGCATAGCAGGAGACAGGGACGTATTCACTGAAGGAGGTGTATCTGTCTTTTGTCACCTCAGCTAGCGAAGTCGGCTACCCATCGTCAGAGGCTTAAGAATACTTTACACAGTTCATCTTACAAAGCTGGTGTTGCGCGCGCACTCTGCCAGGTGTGTAGATCCCCAGAGCCCACAGTGAGTGTGACACAAATATCCATTTTGCCATTGCCTGTACCAGCCTACTCTTGCCAATTATAGTGATGATTGGCGGACCAGGTCTCACGCTCCAACTGTCTAGTGTCGGACAGATTCGAAAAAGCAGATAGGACGTAGGCAGATGATGTAACGGTTTACCGGTCGTTCACTTGACTGAGAAACTTCTTGTGATCTCCATCTTTCGGGTCGAAGGCGTCAAGGGTGCGTGCCGCCCATCAGTATATCATTCTTACCAGTTTGACGACTTCTGGATTTGGATAACACCACTGCTTCCTGCTGCAGAACCTAGATTATTTCTCGGCAATGGCTCACACACTGTTCAGTGAAGTACGTATCAGGAAATAGAATATGCGTATCCTATGTGACTTTCGTGGCACAACAGAATTCCAACTTCGGGTAAGAGTTTAAACTTTTCGTCCCTCTATGGCAGTGATTTTAAAACTAACAATGTTGCAGTGCGAAGAATCCCTGTTTAAAATCGAAAACGGTCGTCAACATTGAGGAATTCGACAGTAAACAACAGACATGCGCCCCTCTACGTATGCGCGCCACCAACGAATTCGTTCACTTCTTTTAAAGGACTCGTGCATTTCCGATATACTGAATCTGGGCCCGGATTACCGGCCGAAATGACTATTTACGCCTAATTCCGTCATAGATCAATCGTTTCAAACGATATTTTGGTCCCAAATGTCATTGGAACGAGAAGACAGTCGCGAATGGTGTCAAACTTAACGGTATCGTTAAACATTGAGACCTCTTGCTCAGTACATTCAGTGGGTCGTACGTTCATCGGTCGAACGCATGCCGAAATGGCCGCTGAAATCTGGAAGCAGGTGACCGCAGTGACGAGGGCCGAGTGGACACTTTTCATATTAGCGATCCGATGCTGGTGTTTACAATCCCTGATGCTTAAAGACAACGCAGCCAAACTCTATCTTGGAGTCGCAGCAATGCAACGAAGGAAGTCAGAGCTTCGCAGGCAACCGAATTACTTTATTAGTCCCGCACCGCCTTGATGGCTAACGGATGTTTCTTAATCCTCCCTCCTCCAAATACGATTTACAAGTTTTCTCGTTATATTCGACTGCCCTGTTCTGTTTTCATAAATGGCACATCTCTTAGAAAATTTCATCGACCCCCCCCCTCCCCACCCATTGTGCCATGACATTCTGTATCACTTTCAACATCCGTTCTGCCCAGTTCTGCCAGGAAATTGATATTTCGGGTTTCTAAATGCCACCGCTTTGTGTCGCACCAGTAAGTGCGTGCGTCATTGAATGATTTAGAAAGGCCTTGAGAAATTAACCGAGTTCTTTCGTCCGGCCATTGTTCCTTGTGATCTGGTAATTCGGTTATTGATATTCTATTAATAGGGATGCGTAATGAAATGGTAATACTGTCTGCGTTCCGAAGGTTTCTATTGTTGCTGCATGAACGTGTCTACTGCATGTTCAGCCAGGCCGTTTTCTTCTTGGCAGGTGAGAAAATATCGTTTGGAAGTAATTTATTCAAAAACTAGTCACGATGAATTGGGATACGCATACAAGACATCCGACATTGCAGATATCAAACAAGGATGCCTACCTTCAGAAACTGGAGTCCCATACGTAACTCGCATCATCAGACCTGAGGGCCGTGCGCAGCACTTCCTGTCGCGTAGATCTCCAATGGCGACTGTGAAGTTCCCGTAGGCACTTTTTGACCGTGGTCGGCGTCATTTCCCTTCCCGTTTTCCTGTACAATAGCAGGCGAGGATTTCGTGCACCTCGTCTGACCTTCCGGTTGGATTGATTACTGCAGCTCATTATGCATGACCTCGTAAGTGGTCCTAATACAGTTCGTGACCTATCTCCTGAAAGGTTACGAACTGTGAACCTAACTCGCTGTAGCGCACGAAACGCCCGCCCCGCATCCATGAAAGTTATACTGCGTTAAGGATACGACCGAGTTTCATAATAAGGTACAGTTTGTTTTATAAAGTATTATTTATTGACTAAGAAATAATTTATT